CAGGAACAAGAACGGGAGCAAGTTCAACCCAAGAAAAAAGAGGGCAAAATATCAAGCAAAACAGCTGCTAAACTGTCAACTAGTGCTAAAAGGTACAGTGCTCTTTCTGGCTGTTTATTTTCCTTTCTCTTTTTTCAGCTGACCATCAGATGTATGTACTGACTCAGTATATAATTTATCTTATTGTTTTATTATAACACTACTATGTCAATATAATAGCCTTTTGAGACTGGTCACAATAATGAGACCTGTGTACTTTTTTCCTTTCTTTGACAGATTGGCTCTTTCACGTGGTTTTAATAGTAGCTTGCATGATAAAAGCTGACATTTTTTTATTGCTAGTAAAACTCAGACAGTTTTGTAGCCTTATAAAATACATCTCTCTATGTGTATATATGACCGATGTTGAAACTTGTCAGTGTAACTTACAGTTAATTAACCATAAACATTTCAGACAGTTCAGTAACTCAGCATGTTAGGACTACCATAATACCTTTTGCTGTAAAGTACTGTGTTTCCTTTTCCCAGATGGTCAGGTCAGAAATTTTTGAGTGAGCAACAAATGCATGTTGGTTTCATTACTTTAAACTGTGGTCTGTTTTAATACCAGATTATTTTGCTTCTCTTTTCTGCTTGAGAGGAAAGGTGGGTTTAGCTATAGGTGGGAATAGCTATTTAAATTACTCTTTGCTATCACATCAATCTCCAGATCATGATTGTCTTGCTTGGACCAGACAGAAGGAATTTACAGCTTAGTGTTGCTGTATTAGTAGACGTAGTTAGTCTAGGCAGCAGAATTCAAACGAGATTATAGTGATTGAAGTTAAAAAAACAAACACTTTTAAAATAATCTGATAAGAGACTGGTTTTGTGGACTATCCAGATGCAGAATTTGCAGATCCTGTTTCCTTGCTAATTCAAGGCCATATAAGCTTCAAGGAAGAAAAACCATTGGAGCTGTGATGCTGCAGTAAAGGAGAATCATCAAGGCCCTATTCCCATAATTCATAACATATGCATGTTGTACGAGTCCATGAATAACAGTATTGTGTACAGCATGCGTGTACCTATCTTCAGGATTTAAGTCTCTGTCTTGGCTTAATCTGTCCCTTACCATTTAAATACTTTTCCGAACCTAAATATAATCTGTCTTTTCAGTGAGGTATTGTCATGCTTTTCTTCTGCCACAGACACTTTCCTTACAGCTAGCCTTTTTTTTTTTTTTTTCCTTCCCCAGTGAAGTGCTTTCTGAAGACCCATTCCTACTATGACAATATTAGGATATTACCTAGTCATATCACTTACAGGGTGGTCAGCAAAGCTTTCCTGTGTTTCCTTTTATGACTAAAAGGAAAAAAAAAACCAAAACAAGAACACAAAACCCAACACAAACAGCTTTCACTTCAAACCATGATGTTATTTATGTAGTTAATCCTCACAGCCTTTATGGTTTCTGGACGCCTTCTCTTTTGTCTGCTTCCTGCTTATTGTTATTTTTAAAATAATAGGAATATTGGCATAGCTGAGACTTTCAAGGTTATAGAAACAGTTTTTAACATCGTTAGAAAGAGTCTGTGTATTCTGAACTTTGTAGAATGCTTAATGTAATGATTACATTAAGAAAGTCTTTGATTTTGCATTTTACAAGATGAGATTATTTTTATAAGACTTCTGTAGATATGTGCACAATAAATAGTATTTTTGACAAAATGTTTTAGAAGTGCTGGTTGTCATAGCACTTTGTGAAAGGATCACGGCAACATCATTTTTACAAGAACAGGTTTTTTAATAGTATTGTAGCTGTTGCGTTTTCTTAGTTTTGAGTTCGTTTTTTTGGGGGGGTTTTAGTTTGTCACTGTTAGAATTGGGATTACATTTCTAGAAACGTTCTTAATCTGGTCAGGTTTTCATATTGCAGATTGTGTTTCTTTGCTTTTTAATTAGAGTAAGTAATGCCTCAAGAAAGGAAAATCAGAAATTAAAGCAGAGAATAAAAAGTGGAGTAATATAAAGGAAGGAAAAATGGCATAGAGTCCTCAGGTTGTGATAAGTATTACAGAAACTGTCTAGTAATATGCATAGTAATAAACTGCATAGTAATATTATATTTTTCTTCATTAGAAATGAAAAATAGTGCAGAAATAAGGATATACTCCAGTGGGAATGTTGTTCTTGACCAGGTTAAAAAAAGAGTTATTTTAAAAACTGTGATAAATTGAAGAGATTGAGCTGTCCTGGTGAAAAAAAGACTGAATGTGTGCTTAGTGAGTTCTTTTCTAGCTTTTGAATTCTGTGGGCTTGTATAGTATTACTCTAAAGTCACGATAATCTTCACTTAAGTGTTTCACTATGCAGTTCCCTCTAATAATGCCATTATAGTTGAAGGAGTCAACTCTGCTAAAATCAGAAAAAAACCTAAGCAACAGAGTATGCTGCAGTTGCGGCTTTTGGTCAAGATTCCTTAATTCCTGTTTAGACCAGAGAACATAGGGAAGTTAATGTAACACTGGAGCTAAAACTGCAGAATACAGACTTGATTCTATCCTGAGTTTGGAAGTCACGTTTTCTCACTTCAGAAGCTTTTTTATGCATGTTGAATTATAGTCACGGTATTTTTGGATTACATTATGATACCTGCTATGTATCTTGGATTAGAATGAAGATTTTTTCATCTGTATTTGGAATACTTCTGTTCTGCTTTTTAGTTGTATGTTTATGTAGCCAGTTGGATTTGAAGAATTTTCAGTAGCATTAGGTTTTATATAAATCAAGATTTAGCAGTGTGCTGAAGTACACTACTACCATGTCGTGTGTGTGAATATACTGTTTCCACAGCTTGTTGCTTTTCCAAATGATCTGATTATGGAAGGTGTATGAAACCACTTGAATTCATATTGATTGGAGCATGATTTTCATTTTTAAGATCTGGAGTTCCTTCTGTTAGCATTGCTATAGGTGGCATGAAAAAGGCAGAATGCCATCACAGGCAGCCCTTCTCAGTTAAAACTGCTTAGGACTAGCTGCTATACAGGTGTAATAGCTTACAGTGTGTATCATACAGTGTACCAGTCCTTCAGTTTTCCTCACCCAGAGGGCATCACCTTAAATAACAGCCTTTCTTACCTAACGTGTCAAGATTGAGAAACTCACTGCATATCACAATTACAGTTCAGACACAGAATTGAATTGCTGTCCTTGAAAACAGCAGGCATCTTGTTACCTCTTAAGTAGCAAATCTTAGTGTGACCTTTGGATTGAGAGAAGTGTAACCATTCTTGGCTGACATAGTAGCTCAACAAATAAATGTGTTGTTTTGCTTGGCTCCTGAAGTTGATATTTGAAAATCTGTCAACTGTTGTGTCCAGTCCTGAAAATTTTTTATAAATATCTCTGCCTGTTTATAAATATGTATGCCTAAAGAGTTGTGAACTTCAAGACTTCAGTTGTTATCTTTTCTTTATTGAAATAAGTTACCATCTTAAGGGGCAGCAAATGGGTAATGGATGAAATTTGTTTGAAATTCAACAAAATAAAAGTAGGCACTTTTTTCCCTTAGCTTTTTTTTCCCCCTCAGTTAAGCTTATCACAGCACTATTTTCAAGGAAGCTGGTAATGATATTTAGCATGTTGAATATGATGGCAAAATATGGAGTGCTTTTTTGATAAGAAATATCCTTGTCATTTATTGCATATCCAGTATGGAGGAAAGAATATTTATTTTCCTCCAGCATAAATCTAACCATCTTTAGATCAGTTTCCTGCTCAGTCACAGTTTGTATAAGATTGAAGTGCATATCAGTGATTGCAGTTCTTAGTAAATAGCATATTCTTCAGTGTGGAGTGTTGGTTCACCTGGCTTTTATGTGTAAAAAGGCATATATGTTAGAAAGCAGATGTGGTAAAAATAGCTCATTGTTATATAGTCCTTTGTTTTGCTACTTTACTTATTCATCATATTGGGAAATCTGACACGTTCTCTTAGCTTTAGAGAACTTTAACTGTTCAGTGAAGAAGACAACACACGATCCCCCTAGGCTTAGAACAGTGGTAAATACATGTCTGTGAGAGTTAATAATACTTGAAATCCACAATATGCTTTCATGCTTCTCAATTTAGGGGTAGATTAACCTTTGCGCTATTACTGGAAGCCAATTATGTTTGTTCTCTTCTGTTACTAAAATGGAGGGGGAAAATACATTTATATGTGTGTGTATGTGACAGAGAGAGGGGTCAAATGACTTCTTCAAGATGCATCAAAGAGCATCAGATCTGACACTGCCAGTTAAATGTCCTGTGTGTACAGCCCAGGGCTTTGACTACTATCAAGGGCTTTCACCCTTGCCTTGGCCCCATGCCCCAATATGTAGTGAACCAGTATGTCATCAGTTTAAATATAAACTGGATATATAAAATTATTTTAATTTAGAGTCCTTTTCCTCCCTTGACACAACTAAACATAACTGTTCTGAGGCAGACAATTCAAAGAGAGAGATACCAGAAAGGACCCTGCAAAAAATGTTTTGTTGCCAGAGGCCACAAATTCTCGTGGTGAACCCTCTGTGGTCAGTGAAGGAAATGAGGCACATCCTCTCCTGTGCCAGATTCAGGGGGTAGCTCAATGGAGATATGAACCAAGTGCCAGACCAGTGGAATAACAAAGGCCAGCTTGCACAGTGGAGGTCTCTATCAGTGCAAGTCTCTCCGGGATGTTGTCTGACAATTTAATTGTAACTTTGAATGCTGTGACATGTGAACAAGCTATTGTGTGTCAGCTGCTCTACATAAACTGTTTATGAATGTGCTCTCAGCATGAATGTAAGGTAAATTAAGGTTGCAACAAAAGAGGTATAAGGTGTAGATATTAATTTGAGTTTGGGATGCCTGCCGTAGGGTAAGAGAATAAATATGGGCAACTTGCTGTGGAGCAACTGATGGACACCATCGTATTAATATGTTGTCTCTTGTTTGTGTAAAAATAGTGATGGATGAAACATCTCTTTTAGATGCTTATTGAACATAAAGAGGAAGTGCAATCTAATCAATTTTTATTGCTTAAAGTGGAAAAGTATTTTGTTCTTGTTTGCTCAGTCACAGGAAAACCTTGAGAAGGGACCATTTTAGTGCTCTCAGCATTAGAAGTTAGAAACTTTTTAATTAACTAGAACAAGAGGAAGAAAATGAGAGTGCTCTGTATCCTTTTGTTTTCAGAATGGAATGGACACAGCTTAGAATTTAGGAGAAAGAATCTAAGGTTTTTGATCTAGGACTTAAACTGCACTGGTCAATCCATTTTTTATGTGTCTTAGACACATTGTAATGCAAGGAAATATTAACTGCTTTTATTACTATATGTAAAGCAGAAGAATTATCCCTGACTCAACAGAAATTCAGTGTCATCATTCTGTAACTTCCCAAAAGTCAGAAAAAGTGAAACAAACCATAAAACATGAAATTAAAGATTCCGTACCACCTAGGTTTTCTATTATTTGAATTTCTGATAGTATAAATTTCAAAAACACACTAGAAATTTGACATATACAGAATATGTTTTAATCATCTCCCATACTTTTAAATCCTCTCTTCTCAAAGGTGTGAGTTGTTAGGGTTGTTTAAATGGAGCAACTTTTTTAAAGCAACAGGTTTGTTGTGCTTAAATGCCAGTAATCAAGTTTTCCCTTTTTTAAAAAAAATGTGGTGGATTTTCAGTGTTACTACAGTGACTTGCTGCAAATATTGATTAAGAAGCCTGAGCCTGTGTTTTTACAAGAAAGGAATGATATTTACTGGAGAGATGTAAATATTTCAGTGAGTAGAAAAAGCAAACAAACATCAAATTTCTCCCCCTCTTTAGGGGTAACTAGTGTGTGTGTATGTAGTGTTGGGGTGCATAGAGGTTAGAAGAAAAGCTAAGCATCTGAAAAAAATGTTATCTTTTCAGTTATATTGACTGGTCCAATGAATGATTATTACCTCGATCTACAAATTTTGCTCACGTATGTCCTAATTATTTCAGAACATGAATGACAGAGGATTGGAGTTCCTGGTTCAGGCCAGTTCCTATACTGCCTTTGGTTTCATTATAGCCAGAAAATCACCTCTCAGTGGCATAAGGGGAATTTTGATAGTGGCAGTGAAACTCCTTAGCATGTAAGATTGTGTTTATATAGAGAATTAAACTGCTTATTTTTATGGTATATATGCCAATATATCTGAATGTGTCTTTTGATAAACTGTGCACAGTGGGTGACAGTCATTTTTAACAAGATACATGTATACTTTAGGACAGGCCTGAACTTTTTATTGTGTCTTGAGCATATTGTATGAATTGTTTTTCTTTTCTTTCCTCCTAGATGTTCATGTTTTTGCACTGAAGTAGCCTATAGAAAAGCTTTGGGTGTAGTTTACAGGGAAAAGTGGCCATTGCAGTCCTACTAATGACATCATACTGTGACAAGTCTTTGGGAACTGTAAAATCCTGTAGTTTCCTTTGGGGATGCTGTATCCTCCTCTTCTTCAGAGGAGGATATACTGGCTCTCATGCAGACGGTGCTATAACGGAAAAGAGCCTGTACTGCCAGATGTGGCAGAGATCAGAAATTCAGTGTTTTAGCATGGGAGCATCAGCTTATGAATATCCAGAAATCCTTAACAAAGAGTTTTGCCTGGAGGAAGACATCCAGCAGGATGCCCGTAACTAATGCAGTACTGCCAGGATCTGGACTGGACCTGCCCAGCTTCACGTCTTTATCAGTGACCTGAAGGATATGGCAGAATGCACTCTCAAATTTGCAGATGGGAATACGTTTAGAGGGAGCAGTTGCTACACACCAGGGGCAGGGCTGCTGCTCAGAGGGACATCAGCAGGCTACAGGAGAGGCTTGACAGGGAACGTGTGAAATTCAGCAAGGCCAAACATACCATCATGCATGTGGGAAGGACTAAGCCCTTGTAACTGTACAGGCTGGGGAGCAGCTCTTCTGTGAAGGACATGGGAGCCCTGGCAGATACCAGGCTCAAAGTAAGGCAGCAACAAAGGCTAATTGCTGTAGTACTGGGAGTAGAGTCAGTAGGTGGAGGAAAGTGATTTATCTCACTTTGCACAGCTCTAATTAGACTGCATCTGAAATTATATGTACTCAGTTTTGAGCCCCCCAGTACAAAGAAGGCACATGTTGGAGTGAGTCCAGCAGCAGGTCCCCAGCCTGGCCAGAGAGTTGTAGCATTTGCCTTTGAGAACAGGCTTTGGGGGGATGTGATAGCAGCCTCCAGTATCTAGGAGGAGGTTCTGAAGAAGACTGGGATAGGCTCTTTCTCAGAGGGTAAGAAACTACTTATCATCTGAAGTAGATTTTTTTGCCCTGCCAGTAGAAGATATCTTAAGAGGTTAATATTCTGGTGAGCAAGAGTTATGAAGCATATAGGTGGAGGGGAAGCAGAGAAGGAGGGTATGCAAGATGTTTAATTGTTCTGTAAGTGGGCAGAGGAGCTGAGAAGTGAGCTGACCTATAGAAAAAGTGGGATTTTCTAGGTGGCTGCTCATGGCATAACTTGTCCCAGGTTGGAGGCTTTTTTTTCAAAAAGATTTTATTTTTATTTCGACTTTTCTTGAGCAGTGACATGAAATTTTACAGCATTAACTTCCCATCAGAAATTGTAAGAGATATTTCTTATTGATTGCTGTAGAAATGTTCATAAAGTTGAAAAATATATTTCAAAAAAGTCCTGATAATTTTTTTTTTCTCTCTTAAGAATTCAGAAAGAACTTGCAGAAATTACATTAGACCCTCCTCCAAACTGTAGGTAAGTTCACCTGGATTTTATTAATTTAGAATGTGGAAGTGGAATATCTGGAATGAAGGAAATTATGTAGGGTACTGGAGTAAATTTTAGCTATTCCTTTGTGCTACTGAAGTCGTGCTGGAATCAAAGCTGATAGATAATGTTTGTCTATGTACAAGGAATTGGTATGACATACGTCCTGGTAACAGAAATAATTGTAAAAACTGATTAACTGCACAATGTGTTGATAGATACAGGGTAAAAATCAAATAACCTTCTGTTTGAGGTATTCAATAAATAGTTTTTTGTTAGATTCTGTGAAATGTATTCTTGGTGGCAGTCGCTGGTATGTTTGATTCCTTTTCCTTGCAAATTGTTAACACACTGTGAATATAATGGAGAAGGAAAATGTTATAGGCACGAACTGTTATTAATCTGCCAACAGTGTTTCTGGTGATAAATTGTGATATTCAGTGGAAACTTCCTGAAATAGAGTATATAATTTGTAGAGCCTTTCTAATAATGAATTTGTGCTTATGTTTTGGTTGTTGCTTTTTGGTCAGGTGTGTTTACTTCTGGTGTGTTTAAAATTGGCTGTGAAATGAGTAATGGGGTAGGCCTAGAAACCCTGGCTGCCTGGTGTCCTGGTGTACAGTTGTTTTCAGATAGCTGTCTGGGCTTCTTATCTGTCAGCTTGACATATGGTCAGTGTTGGAGTGGGGCCAGGGCTGCGCAGTGCTGCTTAAAGGAGCTCCTACCACCCCACCTCCTGCGGCGAGAGGTCGGGCTCGATGCCAAGGGACAGCTTCCACCCTGTCCTGCCAACCCATTTTGACTGATGTGGTTAGTAGGATTCATTCTATTAGGGCAGTAAAAAGAAAGATTGATAGAAATGGCTGATTGCATGCAGCTTTTGTAATGAATCCCAGTATGTTTCAGTATCGAATTAACTAAGCAACTGGTAGTAAAAATAACAGTCAGCTTTATTGTTTTGGTCTCTTGACAAAAGTATGTGTGAGAAAATATTCTAACAAGATTTGATGTGGTTGTTCTGTGTCTCAAGATGTGAGTCAAGTGGCTATGTAGTGAAGTAGCCTTGCAATAACAGTGTTCAGAGTATTTCAGTCAATTAGGATGAACTGTTCTTTGCTAGATAAAACATTTTAATAGCTAGGCTCTTCTGTCATATTTTACAACTGTGTGCAAGTCTTCAATCACATCAAAGCTGTTTCAAATGGCAGATCTTTACTTAGGTGTTGATGACTGATGCCTATTAGTGGATTGATTTGCTGAGATGAATATACAACTTCAGTTATAGAAAAATGGAAAAGTCTTTGAACCGAGTCTAAAAAGCTTATAGTTTTTACAGCAGTGTCATTTGTTCTAGTTTTCTGAATCCTTCCCTTTGTAAAAACAGTTGTTCAAGTATACAAAGTACCGTTACTTGATTTTTTTTTGCTAGCAAGTGTTTAAAAAGAGCATTGGCTCTTCTTAGCATAAAACCCTTCGGTGACTTGCGATTGAGAAAAAAAAAGTGAGCTGAGATTTCCTGCTTTGTTTGTTGCTGTTGGTTTTTTGGGTTTGGTTTGGTTTTGGTGTTTTAAAAAAAATATTTACGCTAATGATAAAATAGCAATAAAGTGCACTGCATGATGCTGTCTTGCGAAATCAAAAACTTACATCTAACTTCATGTGTCTGCTGCTTTAACGCGGTTCTTAAGTTGGGGAATTATTTCATGTTGTGATCTTGATAGATAACCATTAGTATCTTTACTATTAGCAAATATGTTTTTGTAGTCAATATGGAATCACTTCATTTAGTTTTATGCTCTGTTGACATAGTCTAAACAGTGTTTTCATTTGAATTGCATCTATTTTCTATTATACTTAAATATTACAAAATAAAGACATCAGCCAGACACGATCCTTCAACTTAACAAAGAAAGCCAAGCTATAACATAGTATATCTTATCCTAAAGTATTGATACGTCCTTCCATGTTTTTAGTGAAATTTAGATAATTGTTATAAGAAGTGTTAGATTTTCTACTAAAAAGAGGAATTTCATAAAGTTATGTTCTTTACAGATGTAGGCTACCTGAAGTGGTTGTGATTCCGGCTGACCTTCACTATGTGTCCTCTTTTATATGTAAAATAAATAATGATTGGGCAACAGGAATGTGATGAATCTCAAAACCAAAAGTCACAGATGACTTGAGGGAAAGCTGTATTATTCAAGAATACTCTTTTAAGTAGTTATTTAGGAAGTTCTGATAGGTAGGATATTCGCTTGCATTTAAACTTGGATGGAATACTGCAAGACGTGTTGAGAGACTTTCTGTTAACTTCAACAGGTCAAAGCTTCAGGTTTGTCTCATCCAGGAAAACCACAAAATGGATCAGTATCTGTAGTAAGTAGCATCCCTTAATGGCATGCTAGGCTACACAGTCAGTACAAGCTCCAAGGGAGCTTCTCTTTCTGTGGCAGCTGCAGTGTTAATGCTTCCCCAGCCTCATCCCCTGGAAGAGAATAGGCTGTATAGTCTTGTTTGTCTGGGAGACAAAAAACGTCTTGCTCACACATGTGCCTTGTAATTGGCAGATTATCACTGCTGCGACTTGCAGCATCTTTCCAAAACTGTGGAAAGCTGTGCATTTCAAGAGTTCATAAAAAATCTGTTGCGACTGACTTTAAAAGAAGGTTTAATTTGATTAGAAATTGGAGTTGCCTGCCTTCCTAGGTATTGTATTTCATAGGCTGTAGTCTGGGTTTTGGGCAAGGGAAAAGAGTCCTTTTGACTCCCCAAACTTTGAATCATTCCTCAGGACTGAGAATGTATAATATTCTACATGTAAAAAAATCAAGCTAGGAGGTGTGTGGGACTTGAGCAGTGTAATCATTGCTGCTTTTGGAGGGAGACATGTCATAAAAAAGCCTGTTATGCTTCACATTTAACAGAAAGCATGGTATGTTTTTGGTATATGTTGTGTCCCATTCCCCTTCCTCCTCTTTACTTTTGTACAGAGCTGAATTGATTGTGAAGGTGAGTCCTGAATGCTAAGCAGGTGTGTTTGTATTTTAAATCTTCAGGTTTGTGAAATTTTAGTTTGTCAGGAGACAGTATACCTAAGTTGCAGACATTTGCCACTCTTCTCTTTTTTTTTTTTCTTCCTCATTGAAATACAAGGCTTGATTGCTAGAATCATGTGTTACATCTCTGAGTAGTGCAGAGTATACCTTTTCTTACAGGTGATAAAGCCATCATCTTTAAGTATCATTTTCATATATTGCCTTACTGGAAGAGCAGAATAGATAGGAATTCTTGTAGCTAAAATAATGCCTTTTCAAACTTTCCCATATTTTGGACTGTATCTTGTCCAAGACAATAGATTTCATAAAATACAACTTCTATTGTCAGCATTGTGTACTATATTCCTTCTCACTGGCAAGAGAACATCTCTGGCAACTTGTACCAATTGCTTACACAGGAAAACAGTATTTGGAAAGTATTTAATGTATTTTTAGCTTCCTTAAACATGAACTTAGCAGCTGGAAATGCAGAGAGCCAGCACAAAGTGAATAGCAGCTCTCGCTGGATAGTGCTTGGAACAACTGCCCAAAATTTTCCTATTAGGTCACTGTTGTTACCTATCTTCCTCTTTGTGTTTTCTTTTGATGTTCTCTAGCATATTTGTTACCATTCTTCTCTTCTGTGTATATTTACTGCAATTTATACATTTTATTTCTTTTTCTGTGTAGCAATATAGGTGTTGCTTGAGGCTTAGAAGTACACTTTAAAGGATTTTGCAGCTTAGTGGGCAAATTGACTCATTCTTGTTCTAAAACAATCAATGAAAATAGTGGTCTTATTTCTCTTCTTTTAATCTGGAATCATGACATTAATTCCTTGTTTCCTAAACTTTCCGCAAAACTGAGAAACAACCAACATACCTGATTCTATTTTGCTTGTAAAAACTAATCACACTAGAATTGAAACATTTCTTGCAGGGGGGGTTGGGAGAGTGATGCAGAGAGCCAAGTGGAATGGCAAATTATACAGCTTGGCTTAGGGAGAGAGCTTAGCCTGCCTCAAGGATGTCTCTTCCACTGTGAATGACTGTTTTGAATCTGATCTTCTGGATCAGTATTGCTCTGGCTCAGATTTTCCTGTAACGGTGGGGCTGTGATCCTCACAACTCTAAGGGATTATGTGAATTCCATCAATTTATCTTACTTTTCTTGGGGCCATTTGTTTAAACTCTTGCTTAGTGCTACTTTAAAGCTAAGGAGATGGCATGAGTGTTAAGAGCAGAAAACAAATATTGGCACAATTTTAATGGAAGTCTAGGAGGGAAAAGATTGTCAGCCTTGCTCTGTGGTGCAGAGAGATAGTAGGTACAGCAAGTATCTGTCATGCTGCGCTGACCTACTTGAGTCTCCAAAACATTAGTTTGACTTGGAGTGTGTGTCTGAATAAACACGGTTATATATGTTTTCTTAAAATATTTGAATAAATGGGGATATATTTGGAGAATTCAGAGTAGTGACGTCTTCAAACGCAAAATGCAAAAAAAGATTCCTCTGGAAGGATTCTGTTTTCAATGCAATTTGCTCAACGTAAATCTGCTTCCCTTTTGGTTAGTCTCCTTTAGCTTGCACAGAGAGTTTATGTAATGATTTTGGTAGCATTAACTGCTTGCTCAGAATCATTGCTTCTGCTTAGGTAGTGCCCCCTGCCTATTTCACTACCTTTAAGTGTCTGTTGAGTTCTATTTACTCTTGTGCAGAACACACAGGCTACTTTAGTGACATGCTTCCTTGCTCTGTAACCAAACTTTAAAGCATAAGCACAGAACAGCATTTCTTTATTTGCTGGTTCTTTTATAAAACTCTGAAAATGCAAAGTTGGGGTTGGTATCATACTCATGGTTGTTTGCTCACTTAGAAAGAGTATGGGAGTAGAGCGGCTCCTCTGGATAAAGAAAGGATTAATCATATTTCTTCTGATAGGGGTTTCACTGA